TCACAGTGTTGAGCAGATTTTATGATCTTCCATTAAAGAATGATGACGTTCATTTTGGCAGGCAATTAAATTACTCGTGAATCAGTTTTGTTGGGGCAGGTCATAGACTACTTAACCTTACTACTAAGGTATGGCCCTTCTGGGGTGGGGGACTTGCTGACTGCTTAAATGGTTGGCATGATTTTTATACTTCAGCTGGACAAAATTCAAATATCTTATTCTGTTCTTTGTGAATGCTAGGAATTGTTCAGCTTCTAATTTCCCAGCAGTTCTTTGTTTGACTTTACAGAGTTTATCCTTATGCTAATACTTCAGGATACAGCTAAGCAGATGTCTGGAGATCTTTCTCTGTGTGGCTCACTCTGGAAATCCAACCTCATTAACTTTGCCAAACACCTGGTTTGTGTCTTCAGTTTAGCAAGGCTTCCGTTTTCTGCTTGGGTTTCTCCTCCACCGTGTACCACAGTCCATAAGTTACTTCCAAGTGGGAAAACAGATAGGAGGGCTCAAGTTGTTTGTGTCCCTCTTCTTAGGGATCATGGTCGTAACTGCCTGTGTTCTCAGGTCTGAAAATAGTTGGCCCATTGACTTTGCTCAATTTCTAGTTGTTTATGACTAGAGGGTAAGTTCCGTGCCATTTGGCTAAAAGAGGAAGTAGGTACTTAACCTTTCGTGAGTCATATCATGTATTTCTGACACCATCATGCCCTTTTACTTGTGTTCACTATGCCTTGGATGTGCTTTTACCATTTTATTTAGTGGATTCCTATTCCTTCTATAAGTTTTGCAATAAATGTCATTTTTCTCATATTTTTTTTCTCCTTTCCAGTGAATTGCTTAGTTGCTAATTGTCATTTGATACATAACGTCACACCCATAGATATTTACACATACATATTCTTTAAAATGTGTTTCCTTTTTCTTTTTCACTAGTACTTGAAATTATAAACAATACTTATTTATAATTTATCTTTCTGTCTGTAGCACATTGCACAGGGCCTAACATATTTGATTTAGAAGAGTGAGAGAACGAGGATCTGAAATAAGCCCTGAAGCAGGTAGAAATGGAAATGCTAGTTTTGATAGAAAAAGGAATGTTTGGTGTCAGAGGTTGGGAGCTAAGATCTAGTCAAGGTATAGGCAACAAGGAAACACAATTGCTCTTAGCCTGCAAGCATCATGTACATGGCTCTGCATAATGTTGATCATAACATACTTATCCCCTAACTTTCTAAGGGCCACTAGAAAGTTGAAATTAAAAGTTCTTAATACTTTTTATAAAAATAGTTTTTATATAAGAAAAAATATTCAACATCCCTGGGCTTCAGGGAAATACGAATCAATGAGATACCACCTCACACCAGTCAGAATGGCTAAAATTAACAAGAAAACAAATGCTGGCGAGGACGTGGAGAAAGGGGGACCCATGGGGATCCCTGGGTGGCGCAGCGGTTTGGCGCCTGCCTTTGGCCCAGGGTGCGATCCTGGAGACCTGGGATCGAATCCCACGTCGGGCTCCCGGTGCATGGAGCCTGCTTCTCCCTCTCTGCCTGTGTCTCTGCCTCTCTCTCTCTGTGACTATCATAAATAAATAAAAATTTAAAAAAAAAAAAAAAAAGAAAGGGGGACCCTGCTACACTGCTGGTGGGAATGCCAGCTGGTATAGCTACTCTGGAAAACAGTATGGAGGTTCCTCAAAAAGTTGAAAATAGAGCTTCCCTATGACCCAGCAATTGCACTGCTAGGCATATACCCGAAACATACAAATGTAGTGATCCCAAGGGGCACCTGCACCCCAATGTTCACAGCAGCAATGTCCACCACAACAGCCAAACTGTGGAAAGAGCCCACGTGTCCATTGATATGAATGGATAAAGAAGGTGTGGAATATGTATATACAATGGAATATTACTCAGCCATCAAAAAAATGAAATCTTGCCATTTGCAATGATGGGGATGGAAGTAGAGGGTATTATAGGTCAATCAGGGAAAGACAGTTATATTGTTTCACTCGTGTGTGGTATTTAAGAAGCAAAACAGAGGAGCATAGAGGAAGGGGGGGGAAAATAAAGACATAATCAGAGAGGTAGACAAACCATAAGAGACTCTTAATCATAGGAAACAAACTGAGAGTCACTGGAAGGAACGTGGGAGTGGGTATGGGGTAACTGGGTGATAGGCATTAAGAGGGCACATGATGTAACAAGCACCAGGTGTTATATAACCTATACATCACTGACCTCTACCTCAGACCAATACACTACGTGTTAATTAATTGAATTTAAATTAAAAATAATTTTGTTTAAAAATTTTTGTGAAAAGCTCTTGAACTAATGTTTTTAAATAACTTTTTGATGAAGTATATGTAACTCGTAATAATTACTCAGTTTCTAGATAATTTTATAGTAGTGGAAATACACACTACTGAAGTAAATACACCATAATCTAACTGCGGAAATGTTGCTGTAGCTAAAAGGTAGGGCCCAACAAGACTTGAAGTGTTTCACTTCCTTCCTGTGTAAAGGAAGATACCTTGTGTGAAGTAGTTGGTACTGTTATATTTCCTGTTAACCATACTTAACAGATGCTTTTAATGTCACAAATGGTTCTTAAAATTCTGTTTAGTTCCATTAGTTAATATGATAGTTAATGAAGTCTGGCTTAGACTTAAGCAGACGTAGGATGGGATGATTGCACATTGTACCAGAGGGTGTGTAAGTATTTCTGGTCACTGAAGGTTGGCCTTCACAGCTTCTTTAATAGTCTGCATTTGAAATATATCCTCAGGATGCCTGGGTGGCTCAGGGCATGATCCTGGGGTCCTGGGTCGAGTCCCGCATCGGGCTCCCTGCAGGGAGCCTGCTTCTCCCTCTGCCTGTGCCTCTGCCTCTCTCTGTGTGTCTCTCATGAATAGATAAATAAAATCTTTAAAAAAAAATAAATACATCCTCAAAAATTTTCAGAGAACTGCAGTTTTGTGCTTATGTAAACTACTGAAATTGTTGGGAAAACAGAGGAAACCCTTACATTAAAGGAAGAATGGGTAAACCTAAAAAAAAAAAAAAAAAGAATGGGTAAACCATAGAGTAGAAAGAACTAATAATAAATTGCTCTTAATTTTAGATAAATCTTTACACTTAGTGTAAATTAACCTGTATTGAATTTTATTGTGAATGGTAGTGAGCTGAGTTCCCCAGAGGACAATAAATTGTGATTGGGAAACTTTTACAACCGAAGTACAGTTCTCTGTTTTAGTTGAGGAACACAGGCAGTTCTGGGTGTAACTGGCAAACTGTGGTGTGTGTGTGCGTGCGCGTGCGTGTGCAGAGCCGTATTTACAGCAGGGTGCATCTCTAGCTGCTTGGAACTGAGCTGACCCAGCCCACACTGACTTTTGCTTCAGGTCTTCAAATCCATACCAACAGTATACAGGACTGCCAGGCCGTAATGAATTTACTCTGTAATTACGTTGTGAATGTTCACCTTTTCTTTCCTTATGACTTGTGCGTTACTTTTACTGTGCTGGAATATGCGATGAGCATTTTACAACTAAATACATAAAAATGGTTTTAATGCTTTCATAGGTGGTTTTTAAAGTACTGTAGTCAAAATATAATAAAAAAATCAGTTGTATATGTTTTAGCCAAAATGAAAACCTTATCAGCCAAGGAAATATTTGCTTTCACTTTCGTCACCTGCAACTGTTCAGCTAAACTTAAATATATTCTTATCTAATTTTGGTGACAAGTCATGTTTCCATATATGGGCAGAATTTGGAAATAGGTTGCTTTAACAGAAAAGGAAAGAAAAAAGAAACTATCATACTAAACAGAAATTAATAAGTAGCTCTGGTCTGACAGCAATATGGCTGTTTGGAGTTATTGATTTCATGTCAACTTTATACCAACTTTATGAAAGCAACTTAGTCTTTTTTTCTTGACACATAAAGGAAATTTTGAGATATGACATAGCTGTCATTTATGATACAAACGGATGTTTAAGTATGGGCTTTTTGCCAAAGAGGAATACAAATTTTTAAATGTTGATTTTTTTTTTTCTTCTCTTATTGGCAAAATTCTTTGGAGGAAAACAAACAGAGATGATTTGTCCAGAGGTTGGAAGAAAGTTTAAATCAGTATCGCTCTTTTGGTGAGGATAGGCTTTTCCTATTAAAATTTTAAATGCACGTACCCTTCACTCCAGCTGTTTTGTTCTGGGTATCTATGCTTGAGGAGCTCCTGGCACGTAAGCAAACATGTGAGAAACTGTAATGTGCCTTCTCATCACAACATTGTTTATAATTGTGAATAACTAAAATGTCCATCAAAGGCTTCTGGTTTATCTATCCACAGGGATAGGAGTTCAAAATTATGAGATAGATAATTTTAAAAGCATCATGGAAAGATTCTTAAGACATGTTTAAGTAAGAAGAGGTTGTAGAACAGTATCAGAATGTGTCCTGTTTACCATTTTTTTAAATCCATGCACCTAATATTTTTGTATACATCTGATACATATTTTCATATATACATTTCATTTTTATCTGGAAGGATATAGTACACCAAGGAGAGAATAGCACTTACCTTCTAGATGTGGCTCCAGCTGGGATCAGGGAGGGGTCTTTAATTGGAGGGCATCTGCTTCATTTTCATTAGTATGTTTTATAAAAATAATATTTCTGTGTATTCTGTAATTAAAAATTCTTGAGAAATTTTCTCTTGAAAGTGTGTTAGTGTCTCTTACTATTAAAATTGAAGTTCTTGAAACTCTTAAACTGATGTTTTTATTTAGCTTTGGAAATGCTAATCTTAGCTCATATTAGAGGTGTCACGTTTTTATCAAAAAAAATGGAATTAGGCAAGTAGACAAAAGTTTACACACACTCAAATGGTAGTTTATCTCAAGATACTTAATGTGTAAAATGTTAAGGACAAAAGAGACTAAATGTTTTTAATGAGCCCTTGCCTTTATAATTAAAGTATGCTTCTCCCCTCCTCTAGTGCTGCTGGAGGTGAGATCTTTGACCAGTGTGTTGCAGACAGAGAAGAAGCCTTTAAAGAAAAAGATGTTCAAAGACTCATGAGGCAGATATTAGAAGGTGTCCGCTTTTTACATGCTCATGATGTAGTTCATCTTGATTTGAAGGTAAGATCTAAATTACTTTACAATTTTGAGCTTGCTAGAGAATGATACTCCAGGTGTAAAGTATTTAACAATGATTTACTCAAACATCTATCAAGTTTGTGTGTTTTATTAGGTAATAAGGAAATAAACGTCAAGTCTCTTATCTTCTAGCCAGTTGGTTTTATCAAGGAGGTAGTGTACATGTGTGTACATAGAAAAAATAATAATACTTTTCCTCAAAAAACGGAGCTTGGAGGATATTGGGAGGGTAGGTGAATTCTTCTGACGAGAGATAGGGTTTGAGCTAGACCTTAAAAAGAGAAAAAGGATTTAGATAGATAAAGAAAATATAAGAAAATTGTAGAAAATAGAGACAAAATTGACTCATGAGAGTTAGGAAAAATTGTTGGTCAAATATAAATGGAATCGTGTCCCTAGAATTGAGAGGTGAAGTAGGAGATGTTGACAATTGAGGAAAGGCCACATTCCAGGGGTTTCAAATGTCATGAAGAGATAGATGACTTTTTAGCAGGAATATCTGAAAAACAGTGTTAGAAAATTAGGCAGTTGGCAGTAAATAAAATAGAGAACTAGAGAAATTAGAGGCAGATAAATATCTAACTTAAAATTATCAAAGAAGGAAGGGGAAGCGGAAAGAAAGAATACACAAAGGGCAGTATATCAGTTATGATGCTTTCGAATAATTGGAATTTCAGCCAAAAGTAGGGGAAGCAACAGAGGAAATTTTATTGGCTAAAAAGCCCAGGTATAATTCTGTCCTAAGGTATGACACTGTTCATTAATTCAATTATTACACCTAGTTGGTTTTTCGTCAGTCCTCAGCTCTGCTTTCTCAGAATGGCGGTAAGATGGTAGTAAGTTAGATGCTGCCATTTTAGTCTTATACTTGTCCAGAGATTCAGCTGGAGAGAGCCAGGCTCTGCTTGTTAGCTCTCTCAGAAGTCCTGAGGTTGACTGTGACCAAATCAACTAATAGATGTACGGGGTAGGGTGGGGGAGGCCAGTGCAGGGTTTCGACTGGCCCAGCCAGCATTACCAGTGTCATTTGTTCCAACCTTGGAGGGGTAAAGTCCTCCTCCCATCCCAATTTTTATTTGGACTGAGAGCGCGGAAAGGATGGCTTCTCAGACCAGCTCTGTTTGTAAAAGAACAGAAAGTGGGCGGGTACTCGGGAGACAAAAGGTGAGCGTCCACCACGGGTATCCCTCGTGCATTCCTTCAGGCATCTGGGGTCGGAAAGCCCAAGGTCCTTGTTGATTGGCTGCTTCCATATCGAGCCCAGGTGTGTCTGGGGGAAAGGAAACATTCCTCCAGGAACACACCAGTGACTCCAGTTCCTTATCAGCCAGAGGAGATAGGGGGAAGAAAGGCAGGGAACCTGAGTGGGGCTGAGCCCCTGGACCCAAGAAAGGCTCTCCTGACCCGGACTTCTCTTACCCGTCATCGTCTGCTGCTCTGTCCCGACCTCTGCTGTAGGTTGCCCTCTAGCAGAAGGCAGATGCTTGTGGCAGTGGTCCTCCGACTTGGAAGGGATCAGAATCACCAGGAAAGGCTTGTTGAAGCACATTGCTAGGCCCCATTCCAGAGTTTCTGGTTCAGGGTAGGGCCACATGATGCGGGTCCAGGCGCCATTTTGGGAAGCGCTGTCTGGCAGGATGGGACACCGGTAGACAGGGGTGCTGGGCAAACAGCAGGGTTCATCTTCCCTGCTGGAGGGAGCACTCAAGGAAGAGTGTACAGTGTGTACTCTGGAGGTTGACTTCTAAAGGAAGCTTGATAGAATTCCATCTGAAATAAGGTGGAAGGGTAATAGGTACTCCTTCAGATGCTAGTTCCCTACAGAAAAATACAAGGGAAAGAAAACAATTTAGAGACTTTCTCGTGCTTTTCTGAAAAATGCCAATTGAAATTCATTCCATAAACATTTTTTTTTCTCAGAGATACTAATTTTTTTTAGTACAGTGGCTAGAATGCATGGGTACAGCACTGTAGATTATGGTAGTTACGGTGGCACTTTTTGAAGGCAGGTGTGGACATGTGTGTACCTGTAGGTAGTCCCAGGATGTTAAAGCTAACGTGGCCTTAGAGATCACATAGGTAAAACCCTCACAGCATGGGTGAGGGAACCGAGGCCTGGTATTTTACCTTTAGTGTGTCATATGCCTGGAAATTCAGAGATCCTTGCTGCAAGAAATACCCACCCAAGCCTCCCTCGGGAGCACTTAGCCAGGAGGATGGTCTCTGCAGTCCAGACTTCAGTGCTCTCGGACTTTAAGAAGCCTCGGTTAGTGTCAGCCGTGCCAAAGAATTCCCACAAGTAACATTTGTACTAGGCTTTTTTTTTTTTTTCATGTTTGGCTTTATACACTATGGAAAGTCATATATTCATTTTTTTATAATGTTTTGCTAGTTTTATGATGTAAGTAAAAAGGACTTCTAGGAATGAGCCCCAATTTAAATAACCTTGTACCTGTAGGAAGTACGCTTTCCCTTGTACCTGTAGGAAATATGCTTTTGATTTATGACAGCTTAACCTATAACTATTATTCAGGAACTAATTAAGTAGCAAGTCAAACAGGTTGCTAACATTATATGTCATGGGTCTTTGATGTTACTTGAAAGCAGCCGAAGGTGAAAATTAAGTTCCTGAATACCAGGTTTAACTGTGTATTTACTCAAGGAAATTATATCCCTTTCTCCCCAGTACACTCAGTATAAATCATATTCCTTTCTCCCCAGTATACTTGGTGTAGAGTTCTTTCTGGATTTAATAGAGGCTTTGATGATGGGCCTTTGATGTTAGAAACTGGACTCTTGATGTTTCCTAGGCCCAGAGGAACCAGAAGACGAGGTGGTCTGGTGGGTTCTCAGCCGTCCCTCTGCCTTCCAGTCACAGGTGCAGTCAGATGTGTCCCTAAGTGAACTGCTGAAGGGGGAAGGTTGGAGATGGGGCTGGTGTGGCAGCCGTGCAGATGGATATGATTTCTACCAAAAGGTCATCTCCAGTTGACTGTCTGTGACCTCTGTGAGTCTGGACAGAGAGTCTACTGTCCCACAACTTTTAACCGCCATCTGCCCGGTGACAATTTATGCTTGTAATGTTGACTCTCAGTCTCCGTAAGAGCTTGAAAGCTACAAAGCTAAATCTTTTTTTTTTTTTTAAGTTAAGTTGTAATTCTGTGAAAATTAATCCCCATGTCTAGGGTAACTTGGACTTAGTAGATTATTTCTCCATTATGGTTAAAATGGAAAATTCTTGTTCCAGAGACAAGAAGTAGGTAGGTTAGACTACTGTAGTTGCTCCTATAAAAGAGATAATTGTCACAATGGGAAATAAGCTGTTTGGCTTCAGGTCTGACCCCAGATGGGCAGTTTGCCAAAACACTGATTCACTGATGACTCTCAGCCAGGTATCTTCAATTGAACATGGCAAATGCTTTGAGGGGTAGCAGATGCAGATCGTGGACTGTTTATAGGACTACAGAAATAGAAAGGACCCTAAACTGTGATTAAGGGAAAGCCCATTCATTTCATGTAAATCATGGCACGATTGACAAATGTGAGAAACAGCAACTCTACCAGAGTCAGGACAAAGCTACAAGCCTCAAAATAATCTCAGTTGGTGAATTAGTCATTGGCATAGTGGGCTGCTTTTACTTTGGTCGGGGGATGGACTTGACCAGAAAGAACACAAAGAAAGCCAGTCTTAAAAGCCAGCGCCCCCTGTGTTTGAATGGTCTTTTGTTGGTCGATCCTTGAGCAGTCCTCCTCGAGGTCGTTAGCTTGTCCAGCCTGTCCGATGTGTCCGGGGAGACGTGGAGCAGCAGAACCCGAAGCTGGAACTTTCCCTTTTGAGATTTCAGTTGGTCCCTGACAGTTGGAACATCAACAAATTACTTGAAAGAGGGGTGACATTTCTAAACAGTCTCCCAAACTGATCTAGACAGTCGTGTTCACCTGTGTCTGTACTACGACCTGGGTCTTAATAAATAAAAAGTCCACTTGAATAAAATGTTCCTTAAAATTTTGTCCATGGTACCCTCAGGCTAAGTAAACAAGTTAGCCTCAACCGGACGGTGATCCTACCCCAGGGTGAGTGTGCAGTAACTGTTGAACGGGTTATATACAGAGATGAAGATCCCACGATAAACGAAAGGATTCCCCCAAGAGAAAGAAGATTTTACGGACATCTCCCTACTGCCTGTTTGTAGACACTGTGTTTCCTGTTTCTTCCACTGTCCTTGTGCCTCTCAGTGACCGTTTGTTTTCTCTCTCACCACCGAGGATCCATGCATCTTAAATAGGCCTCGTAAGCCCAACTTCTTCATCGTGACCCGGACTCCCTAGAAAGGAGGCGTGACTAGCTGTAATGCTCACGTACTTCTCCGTGTTTCTAGCACATGCATTTCACTTACTGGAAGTGGGTCTAAGTCGCTGTCAAAGACTGACAGGTTATGGTCCTGTAATTGTACTTCTGTTTTATTTAGAGGAGTAAGGTCTATTCTTTAAAATGTGCCTGTGGTCAAAGCAGGGCACACAGTTGGTAGAAACTACGTAATAAGCATTAACTGTGAAATTCCGTGAAAGAGCTCTGATGGTCAGATGTGTTTTTCCTACCCGTCCCTCTGTCAGCTGTTTGACGGGTCTCTCACTTTGGCGGATGATGGATGCATGTGATTGGGCCTAGATTTCAAATACAATAACATTTTAAGAATTTGATCACATTAATTTAGCATTTACTGCATCACCACCACACCTAGTGGTGTTTTTTTCATGATAACTAGTTTTTACACGATTGCTCAAGAAGGCATTTCCCAGGAAATGTTAAGCGTAAACAAAAAGTAAGGGGGAAAAACGCAAGCTATTTTAAGGGAAGAAATGGTATTTAAGAACATTCACAGACTGCGTGTTTTAGTAATCACAGGCGGACCTTACAATATGGTGAAGATTTCGACTTAGCAATATTTCTCTTGGCATTTTTTTTATGTACTGGGAAGGGC